CATACACATGTTCCATATAAACACAATCAAGTGTTCTGGAATTCTTTTTATTCTTCATTTTACCCATAAATACAGTCAAATGCTTTTCTCCTTTTTTTGGCAGTCAATAAAACACAAGTAAACATTTCTCTGGTATTCTCTGCTTTCATCCAAGATCCATCTGATGTATACAATAATGGCTCTTATTCCATAGCTTCTTCTGTGTATTGCTTGAATTTCTGACAGTCCTATGTCAACAGCTCCAGCCATTTTTAATAATCTTCAGCAAGATTTCACTTACATGTGATACATGATGTAGTTCCTCCAATTCTGTTGGATCATCTTTTTGGGGTTGGGCACAAAAATTATCTCACTGGTTAGTTGGTTAACCCTCTTCCAAATTTCTTGGCATAGGTAAGTGAGTTAATCAGATGAGGACTGCACATGATCTTCCACCAACTCCTGAAGCCTTATTATTTTTGCCAATGTCTTCAGTGCAACTTGGATTTCTTTCAGTACCACTGATTCTTAATCAAATGCTATTTCCTGAAAATCTGAATATCAATCAATCCCGTCTTGTACAGTCACTCTGTGTTCCTTCCATATTCTTTTGATGCCTCCTGAATCATTAAAGATTTTGCACACAGAGTCCTTCAATATGGCAACTTGAGATCTGAATCTTCAATTCTTTTGAGAAATTTCTTCCCTTTTGATTTTCTAACTCCAGGTCTTTGTACATTGCATTATAATTTTCCTTTGTCTTCCAGAGCTTTGTTTTGAAATCTTGTATTTTCTTACTTCACCTCTACATTGAAGAACAGGTTTCAGAGTATCTTCTGACATCCATTTTGTAATTTTTTTCCTTTTCTTTTACTTTTTGCTTTCTTCACGTATGATGTTATCTTACAACTCACCTGGTCTCTGGTCATTGTTGCTACTGTTTTTAGGTGTCATTGAGTATGACTCAATAGTGACTCTGTGAATAACACACCTGAATCCTACACCATCTTTATCACTGAGGACCCACTTGACCCCATTACTGCAGTCATTGTGTAAATCTTCTCACTGGGGGTAGGAGTAGGATGGAGGATCTTCCTCTCTTTAGGTGACACTCCAACTATTCATTCTTTTGGAAGTCCATGAGGTATTCAGTACTGTTCTCTAACACCATAATTCATAGGCATCAATTATTCTTTTGACAATTTTATTCACTGTCCAGCTCTAGCATGTGTAGCAAGTTATTGAAAATATCATGGCCAGAATCAGGAACACCTTTGTTTTCAAACTGACATCATTGCTCTTAAGTATTTTGGAGAGGTCTCTGACAGTGGGCAAGCCCAATGCAATACATATCCTGATCTCCTAAATCACTGACAACTTTAATCCTTTCTCCAGCTATCATGATACTATCTATTGGCCTGGTAGAGAAACCTTTGTTTTCTTGATGTTGAGATGTAAACTATACTGAAAGCTGTAGTCCTTGATCTTGTGCAGCAAGCACTTCAGGTCCTATTCATTTTCAGCAAACTAAGTTGTGTCATTTGCATAACAACAGGTTGTTGATGAGTCTTTCTCAGATCCTGATCTTCCTAAGAGTCAAGTTTCAGGGAGCTCTGGTGGCCTAGTGGCAAGAAGGTGCACTGCAATCCTGCTTCACTGGAGAAGGAGGGACAATCTCCTCCTGTTCTAGTCAGATCCAATTCGATGGTACATAGCATTTAAAACAAAAATTAAAAAAAATTAAAAAGAGTAAAGCTTCACAAATTATTTGGTCAGCATACAGATTGAATACCTATGGACAAAGGGTATATCCCTGACACACGCTTCCTGATTTAAAACCAGGCAGTGTTCCTTTGCTCCATTTAGACAACAGCTTCTGGATATAAATAAAGAAAGCTAAATAAGCAAAATGAAATGTTCTGGGGTTCTAAATCTTCTCAATGTTAGTCATGGTATGTTATGAGCCTGTCAAATGCCTTTGCATAGTCAATAAATCATAAACAAACATTCTTCTGATATTCTCTGCTTTCAGCCAGGATCTATTTGACATCAGCAGTGATATTCCTGGTGCCATGGCCTCTTTTAAACCCAGGTTGAATTTCTGGCAGTTCCTTGTCAATATAGTGTTCTAGCCATTTTTAAATGATCTTCAGCAATATTTTGCTTGCATGTCTTATTAATACTATTTATTATTCAATAACTTCTACAGTATGTTGGGTCACCTATCTTGGGGATGCAAACATATATGGATCTCTTCCAGTCAGTTGGCCAGGCAGCTGTCCTCCAAATTTTCTGGTATAGACTGGTGAGTGCAACCATGGCAGCATTTGTTAGTTGAAACATGTGAGTTGGTAGCCTACTGATTCTCTGGGACTTATTTTTTTGCCAATGCCTTTAGCATAGGTTGAATTTCATCCCTCATTACTTTTGGCACTAGGTTGTATCTTGTTATTGTTGTTATAACTCATTGTGATCCTATTTACAATAGCTCTAAACCCTGCCCTATCCTGAGCCAGTCTATGACACAGCTAATCCCACTGCCCTAGTTAACTTGTCATACTAGTTTTATGTTCGTTCTTGAAATTTTTCAACTAATTCTTTTTGGTACAGTGACTCTGTATTTTCCTCCCATCTTCTTTTAATGCTTCCTGGATCATTCAAGATATTGCCCATAGCACCTCTTAGTACTGCAACGTGAGGCATGAATTTGTTTTCAGTTCATTTTGTGCAATGCCAAGTGAGTTCTTCCCTTTCTATTCTGTGACTCTTGCTTTTTGTACATTTCATTAAAATATTTTGCTTTGTCTTCTCAAGCTGCCCTTTAAAATCTTCTGTTAACTTTGTTATCACTTGCTTTTTTTTTTTTGGCTTCTTGAAACTCTACTGCAATTTTCATAGTCTCTTCTGACATCCATTTTGGTTTTTTTCTTTTTCCTCAGTTCATTACTAGTCAATATATCAAATCCATTTTATCCTAAGAAAAATAATGCCTACAGTGCAGCCTGGACTTCTCTCATTATCATTGGTTTCTGATTATATGCTATCTCCTGAAATGGCTGATGGATTCTTTACTTATTCATGTTAATGAATATTTACAGAGATTTTGGATTTCCATTCATTCATTACTGCATTTTTCTCCCTGTCCATCCCTCCCCCTCACTTCACTTTTCTCTTTGCAAACAAAATTCCTTCACTGGTATACAATCTGCCCGCACTCCCTGCCCTGAGTACACACTCCACTATGCAACCTTCATTCTGGACTCTTGATAACCATAATACCCAATCATATATCGCTTTTTAACAGTTTTCCCCCTCATCTGTTTCAATGCAGTATACATAATTTATCCTCTTTTTCTCAGTCTTACCCCAACCCTGTTATCAGTCCCATTCTCCAACAGTGGCATTATGCAGTATTTGTCTTTTTGTGACTGAGATATTTCACTCAGCATAATATCCTTCAAGGTTACCCATTTTGAGTAATATTGCATGCGTTCCTTGTTTTTCAATGCAGCACAGTAAGTAGATGGATTCTTAAACCTAGCTCTAATTCTAACACTAACGTCAACTCTAATCTTAGATCTAACCAAATCCTAACTCTTGTTCTAGCCCTAACCCATAATTCCTAACCGTAAAAAGATCATAATAATTAATGTTTTATAGCTATGGCTTTTATTTCAAAATGTTACAAGAACAGTTATGTGTGTGAGTGATTATTATTTTGAGGAGACTACTAAAGATGTTACAATGTAAAAGTTTTACTTTATGATGACCTACGGAAAAATTTTTTCTCAAATCTCAGTATTATAATGGAAAAATGATCTACTTATTCTAAGCAACTGAACTGTTTTTTAAGAGTATATTCTAAAGTCCAATCTGATCACATCCTTCTAATATTTTAATTAGTAGGAACTTTAAAGCCAAACTTGTGCTTATATTTATCTAACAAATGTGCCATAGTACATAGTAGAAATTATGATTCTAACCTGACCAAAGGTTTCAGCTACCACAATATCATCATTTAGCCTTGAATTTTTTATCTAGTATTTGTTAATTCTGTGTTATTTCATACATACATATACACACATATCATAACTATTATCATCTCAAATCCTTTCTGGGATAAGTTGAATCTATAAATAAACAAATAACAATATCCTTTACGGACTCTATTATCTTCACACTTCTTGGAAATTCTTTTGCTGTATATGTTCTTCCATGCAATCGCATTAATTTCCATGACCTAAAATGGCCGTGAGCTCAAATATGTGTCTTCAGTCCTGACCTCATAATAGTAACATTTTTATTACAAAGAATATTGCATTCTAGATTTATATGTTTAATTAAAATATAAAAGCAGATAATGCTTTCATCCAATTATTTTTAAAAAGTTCATTTTCTTAATTATTTTTCCAGCAACAGCTATTTATTTCAATACTTTTTTTTATGATTTTAACAAAAGTTTACAGAAAAGATGGATGTTCATTCGTGCATTGTTTCACATTTTTCTCCTTTTTTTTTTTTTAATAGTCATTCATTGTTGCACTAACTAGGAGGTAGTTGAGTGCTGCATAATGCATTCAAAGTTCCTCACCTCACTTTTTTATTCTATTCTTTTCACTAATCATTTTTAGCCTCCAGGACTATACACATTTTATTAAACATAATCACTTGACTAACTCAGTAAAACCTCAAAAAAAGTTTTAGATGAACTTCAAAACTCAACATGTAAAACAAATTAATTCTAAAGACCCACTATCAATGTTTTCCTTAAACAGTCAAGTCATAAAGAATATTACTTGAAGCACTATGCTATCATTGCTACTAAGAAACAATTTTCTAAGGACATACCTTAGAATAGCAAGGGCTAGAGAGGGCTTTATAGCAAATAAATAGACTATACTGATATTCAAAGTCTAAATGTCTGCCCTAGCAATGTTTATACATTTTATACTTTCTAGAAAAGCATAGAGTCCTATTAATACTAACTTATAGAGTTGAAAAAAAATATATATATACTATACTTGTCTTTTTCAAGAGTTTCTCGATAAACAGTAACTTGGTCTTGCATGTAATCTTCATGTTTATGAAAAACATCACATGTTGGCTTCCAGCTATGGAAAAATATTTATAATTAGTATCTATTATGTTTGTAGTTAGAATGATAAGCAAATTTATCAAGATAACAGAAAAAGGTAAATACTTGAAAAGATAATGCAATCATTTACTTTCTGGATAAAAGCAACTTATATTAAGAAAAACAATTTCACAATATGAATTAAGAGTAGTGTGAAACACAATGTATATGAACTTTGTTAGTAAACCAATATAAAATAAAAAAGAAAAGCAATTACATCCCCCATAACTACCACTACCGCCATTCATAGAATTATGTTATTGTTGCTAGATACTGGCAAGTCAACTGTAACTCACAGAGATTTTTATGAACAACAACATATTGCAACTTTGTCTTCTGTGCTATCCCCACAATCTCTGTGACATTCAAGGCCATTGTTGTGGTCACTGTGTCAATCCATGTATTGAGAATATGTGAGTTGAGAATCTTCCTCTCTATTGTTGATCCTCTACTTTTCCAAACAAAATGTCTTTTCTTCCCCCAAAAGACTTGTGTCTTCTACACTAAATATGTGTTCAAATATCCATTAATTTTTTCCATAAAACTTATTCTGGAGCCATGACTAGGGAAGAATAAGATATAGCATTGTATTTTTTTTAAGAATAAAACAGTATTTATTCCTAAATGTTCTTTGAATGACATAGGACCAATTATTGTAGATCATTTGAAGGACCTAACACAGCCCAATCCGGGGAAGCTGAGCCAGGTACTTCTCAGAGGGAACAGACTCAGAAACACACAGACCCTTCTCCTAGGCAGGGGTGAGCACCCATGCTGTTGAAGAAAACAGTTCAATTTACTTAAAATAGCATCCAAAGGCCATCACAGTAAGTAGTGGCTATGTGCTTTCACAGGGAGGGGAGA